AACCACTTCTACAGGAAACTCCTAATAAAGTTGAAGCAAGCTTGAATGGGAATCTTGTAGGCAATGTGTTCATCAAAGACTCCTAATCAAGTGCAAACAAAATTAAATGTAGAGCCTGCTTGAAAATTGAATGTAACAGCCACAGGGCCAGACTCTATTATATTCTTCGTAGCTATTGTCAGGGGCCTGATACTGGGTAATGAAAGTAGATCACATTTTAAGCCTTGTAAAATATGAACTTGTGTTTGAATTAGTTGCGGTTAAATAAGAAATTTCCATTCAGAATTTTTTTTCTGTGATTTATAGTTGATAGCTTCTATTTCACTAAATGCAAGCCAAATATAATTTAATACAAGATTCCTTCTACAGGTAAGTTATACGCTAACTATTCACATCTAGCAAAAACATGAATTTGGAACTGTAGTGCTAGAAATATTTCAATTACCTGAAGCCCCACGTCGACAAATACGAGAAAATGTTTCCCCGATAAATAGCAGTATACCATCCAGTTCAAAATTATGTGGGGTAGCTTCTTCATCAGATAGATTCTTATCCCTCTCTTGTGCTCCATGGAGAAGCTGAAAGGCGATCTGCCTGAAGAACAAACTATATAACTCTTGTAAAGCAAAACAATATACTGGAGTTTCGGGGAAGAAGTTGCTGTCTGATGAAGTATTGATACTACATTTGCAAACCATGAGAGAATAAAAAGGAGAGAGTAATAAAACAAGTATACAACAGCAAAGTTAAAACAGCGATTCATAGAACACATGAGCATGCATGATGTCAAATATCACATCAGAGAATAAGGGCATTGGAACTGGGGCTTAATGTCTTAGTCATCCTTACCAAGATTTGGGAACCAATACACGTACATATGCACAAATACTCAAATCCACAAAATAACTACCATATAAGAGAGAAAGGATACTGTGATGAAAGCGAAGTCAGGGCTCTTGGTTGTGCTTTGTCAGGAATAGATGCAACAATTTGAGCCACCCTAGACGCCAATGGCTGGAGCTGTACAATTGTAAAACCCTCATAAAGCTGAGAACTGCCGAACTCTCTAGCAATTTGTAGCACGCCATAATTTTCAAGCAAGCACAATACAAGTAACCTGACAGAATTGTTAAAAAGATGTCAACAAGTAGATTTAAATCTTTCAACAATATTTCATAAACCTAATCAAATGTACAATAACACAAACAAAAACCACGAAGATGAAACCACAATTATCATCAGTTAAATGCATTCATCACAGCATTGCTTTTAAAATAACACAAAGCATCATCATCATCCCTGAATGGATAAAATCAACAATTATTCTTCCACATAAACTAAATTTATACCTTTCAGTATTGGATTGAACAGCGTTAACATCAACAACACTTCCATCTTCCTTGTACTGTAGGTAAGGAACTAAAGTCTGAACAACCTCCGTGGCGAATCCATTGACAAAGAAAACATCATAAACATGCTTTTTCGCCGAAACCGGAAAACAAGCTAACCAGTCGGACACAACATCTACATCGAAGTGCAAACGGCAGTATACATACATCATCAGCAATCACAAATAATTGATTGAAAGTTCCAGATTAATACTGTTTATTATTAATTACCAAGTAATAAAACCCTAGCAAATGTCGGAAACGCAGCTCCTCTGCCTTTGTAAAATGCTTGCCACCACTCGCTCCTCTCGTTTGCTGAAGGAATTTTAGCACTAAGAATCTGAAAAAAAAAATATTTATTGATAAAATAAAGTTAAAAACAAAAGAGAAAATCAATGGACAGTAACCTGTTCTCTGAAACTTTTATCAATAGTAGGTAAAATGAGGGATGAATCTAGAGGGAAGAGAAGGAGAGCGAGGGAGTGGAGAGAGCAAATGAGTTGGTCTACGTGTTTGGCAGATTTTATTTCTAAAATAATTTGTCCAACTTTCTCGAGAATCCCGCTCTCCACTCTTCTCCTTCTGTTTGCATCCCCCTCCGCTTCCATCTTCACTTCTGCAATTTTGCAAGCTCTCTCTCGCTCGATGCTTTCTCGCTGTGGAAGTGGAAATATCAATTTAATTCAGCCACGCTTATTATAACATATCAGTGACAGCTAGTTTCAAAATATTTTTCATTTTTTAAAAATTAAAAATAATAAAAAGATTTCAGAAAGTAAACAATATGTTTTACATTTTTATACATTTTTAGTTTAAATTATTAGCTATTGAGAAATTATTTAATTAAAAAATAAATAAAGGTGCAAATCCTAAGCCAAGTATTACTATAATATAATCAATCAATTACTTTAAAACTTTGCAAGAATCTTCCAGCAATTATAATATTTAATAACAACTTATTTTAATATTAAGATTTTCTTTTCTTTTCAGGAAAAAAAAAAGTTGATTGTATAATACATAACTCAACTCTCATATTATCATGAATTTTTGAATAATTTAAAAAAGTTTAATACAAGTTAATTTGGTGTTAAAAATAAATTTTTTTATTTTTAAATTTAAACAAAAAAATTCTGATAAATAAAAATAATTTATCAATAACCATTGCTAACAAATTATGATCCAACATTCTAGTTGATTTTTTTTTTTTGGGAAAGGTACATATAAGTTCACTCCTAAGAGAAAAATTACCTTTATAATTTTTTTTGAAGAAGTATATATTTAATTGATTTTTATTTTTTGTTTCTCTTTTAAAAAAAAACACCTTTCATAATAATTTATTTTAAAGTCCATTTTTTCTTGCTTGTAAGATAATTTATGATTTGAAATTATTTCCTTTTATCTTATCATTATTATAAATTATAAATCATGATTATACTAGAATGAGATTAAGATTGTAAAAGTAGAAAGTATAATTCTTTATATTTATAAATCTTGTTTTTATGTTTTTAAAAATGAAAATTTTAATGATCATTAGCATAATAAGGTGCTCCAAACCTTTCTAATAATTATAGAAACAATAAAAATGATTTTTTTCTATAATAAATATTTCATTTAAAAAATATAAAACAAAATTAGGCAAAAAATTCAATATATATATATGTTTCTAGCTTATCATCCTGGTAAAATTCTCAGCCCCAAAACTTAGAATTACTCAAGTGTTTTGCACATAATTATTTTTCAATTCCAAAATACCCTTGCATGTTAGACAAATAGAAGTACTTTTTGTGCAAATCAAGTGATAAATTCTGTTGTTTAGTCTAAAAATCACGCTATAAAGATAGATCAAAAACTTAAAATATATTTAAGGATAAAATTGATTTAATTAGGCATATGGGTATAGATTAGGAATTACCCTATTATATAAAGATAGATCAAGCCAATATTAACCCTGAAAATTGTTGTAAAGGTTTTTCTAATACAAAAAAAAAAAACAAGACAATAAAGATTTTAAATATACTGATTTTATAGGAAAATATAATAAGACATAAACTTATTTGGAAGAAAAACTTGAAAGCTAAACTTATTGGTCTAACAAAAATATGAAATAACTCATTGATGATTTATTTAAAAAATGAACTTAAGCCAGTCATGCAGACATTGCAAGTAATCACAGGGTAATTAAAATTATTTGAAAAGGGCTTTGAGTTCGCAAAATTTCATCTTACTTGCAATAACTTTAACGAAGCTCAAGTCATTTATTGCCAGCATGACAAGATACATAAAAGGAATGGGAACGGGGAACTATAAGAGCAGCTAAGAAGGCACATGTTGCTTTAGAGTTGCAGGTATTACCATAGGGACGCTGCTACGGCTTCATTCCAGGACTCATTCTATGCTTACAACTAAGCTCTTATGAAGAGACTTTATAAGAGAACCTAGTAATCAATGTATAGATGCAATTCGATGATGATGAACAATCAAAGATCACGTAGAAAAGCTAGAAGAACGAGTGAAATATATATATATAAATGCAAAAGAAAAGGTCGCACTGAGTGTGGGAATCCGGTGAGAATTTGATTAAGCTGATTTTCCTCTCTTCATCCTCTAGATCTAAAGTAAGCAGCAACATCTCCTTATTTTTCTAAAGTCATTAAGGTTTCCATGCGGCATTAAGCTTAAGAAAAAAAATTGTGCAAACTGTGCTTTTGTACTTCTCAGTGAGAAAAATACTGGTCACCACTCGAAGAGCACTTCTCACAGTAATAAGTGGTAGATTTCTTCAAGCTCTTGTTAAAAATATGCACATTTAATTCAAGTTGGATCACTTCCACAGTTTCTACATCTGGGATAAATACACTAATATGCCATTCTGATATCTCAAGGATCCAAAAACCTTATACTAATCAAAAGATTAATTGTCAATGAGATAATTGAAGAAAACATCAAAATGTTGCTACACTGAGCTCATGTTAATCATCAGGTAAAAGAGTACTTCCAATATTCAAAGAGTCAGATAAGTGGCCGCAAACAAAATCAGAGAAAGGATGCTGAGCACTTGGTTTGACAGGCTAGTAACCAAAGCAAGGTGCAAAAGGGCAAGGCCATCATGTGGTCCATATTGCCTACCTCATAAAAGAACGGCTAAGAATTTAAGATCATCACCTGTGATAAGGCCTTATTGTCCGGTCTACCTCAGAAGCTCTTACTAGAACACCCTCCACCCACCACTACCAGTGGATCTTGCACTAGAACCAGTGTACCCTGTTGAGTACATTGTACTAGCAACACGCATAGTATAATATACTGAATAACATTCCACAATATATGAACATTATCATTATATCATACTCCCATTACTTCAAAAGCAACTTGTAGAAGGAAGTCAAAGCGAAAGCATAGTGCTTGAACGATGAACATTAACTTGAACATCTCCAAATCTTTACGATTAACAGCTATGATGGTACAAGGATAATTTGCTACGTCAGTGCATTTACCTAATGCAAAATATATTTCGCCAACAGATTTTTACTTTCAGCAATTACTATAGTCAATGCAATACTTAAATGACAATACAACAGCTTTTAAAGAAGAAAGAAACTATTATTGGCAGAATAAAATAAATTTTCTTTTCTCATTTACTAATTATTTGAAACACATTAGGGGGGGGAAAAACTAAGAGAAACATAGGTCCTCTCCTGAGAACAATACAACAAGAGTTTTTCTTTGACAGTTTTATATCACAGTTTCTCAGTTAATCTGATCATAAAGTTATTAACTACACCTTTGTCTAAAACAATCCATGAAGATTCAAACAACTCATGAAAGAACTCAGCTCCAATCTCTTCAGCTGCATTTCTGAAAGCAATCCCAAATGCATTTCCTTGAACTGCCCCAAGACGAGGCTTCCCACAAACTCCAACAATCAACATCTTGTTTGGCTCTTGCGACAAGCAGGCACAAATCAAAGGCTTTGCCCTGGCACCTTTCTCTCTCAAAGCATCCATCAGAAAATAGCAGAATTTAGTCAAAGCCTGGGGGTATCCCAACAGTTTTGTATCCACTGAATCCTCAAGCTTCACCCACCTGAACTTTCTTCCACTTCTGATAGAACCACTTTTGGTTATTGCTGCACTTCCTTGTCTAAGAATTGCCCTCTGGACCTTGATCGCTTGTTGCATTCCAGCTTTCAACTTGTCAAGATTGTTCAAGGACAGAGCATCATAAGCTACCCCAAACTGCTTAGAAGCACAAGACCCATCAGAACTCACAAATGACTCGAGCAAAGCAGTGACACCATACACAACATCTGCTGCAGACACCCTCGAGCTGTACCCATGTAGCCTCAGAAAGCTCCTGTAGTAAAAATCAGAAAGCCCATATTCGGGTAAAAATCGTTCAAACTCGTCTTTCATCTTTCTCTTCACTTCAAGATTCATGTACTGAAACTTTTGTTGGCAATCCACTAGGGCAAATCCCATTCTAGCAAGAAGAAGCTTAAGCTTCTTCATTCCATTGTCATTCCATGTCTTCAATTTTGTAGCAATATATGAAGAACACAGCATTGAATCGAACAAATTCCACTCCCTCAACAGCATAAGTCTAGGTTCATCTTCATAGGCAATCCTTGAAGACTCAGGTGCTCGAATCTTTGTTCCATCTTTGAGGGTCACCACAGTAACTGCCTCCAAATTCCCTGAACTGTTAATATGTTGCTCCAGCTCCATGACCCCAGCTAGGTACCTCTCATCCGTCAACCTCTCATGAACAAATTGATCAGTCAGCGAAACACAAGCCAACCAAAGCAGCTCATTCGTGTTCTTCCTCAGCAAATGCGATAAATCATACATCAAACACCCTGAGGGCTTTCCATGAAAAGTACCCCGGCGATAATACTCCCTCTTCAATTTCCTAAAAAGCTGAACTGGGTCAGCTTCATCCTCATTAGAAACCTTCCTCCTTTTCCTTGATGACCCATCATCCTCATCTCCCTCACTTTCACTATCTTCCTCGTCTTCACTGTCAGAGTTTTCTTCCCCCTCGTCATCACTATTCAACTCACTCGCATTAGCCAACTCCGAAACTTTAAAATCATAAGCCAAATCAGCTTGTTGCTCGTCATCGCCCGTGTAAAGAATAACCACACTCTCATTCTGGTCATTCAAGTTATGCAAATGGATGGGGCGGTGACTATCAACCACGAAAACACGTGCAGCAGGGCCTAAATTGAGCAACAACCTTAAATCACGCTGACAACCCCAATTTACTAACAGGATTGAAATGGGTTCATTAGAAAGTGAAGTCAAATCAGCATATTTGTGGATTTCTTGGAAGGAAGAAACAGGATAGCAAGCGTAACGGACAGAATCAGATTCAAGAATGTGGAAAATAATTTTAAGAGCACAGAGGGAGTCTGCATCAGAAGTTGAGGGAAATATAAGTAGAGGAGAGAGGGATGAAGTTGAAACAGATTGGCGGAGGCGGCTGTAAAAGGACTCTACCCTTTGCTCTCTAACCATAATTATTAGTATTATTCCAGGTCTAATAAAGATTTGAAATTAAAAATCCCAGAAGCAATAATAGTTCATGATTTTTAGGTAAATTGGGTAGACACAGATTTGAGATTAACTACTTCGAATTGGGCATCAGGTTAAAAGGGAAAAAAATACTTAGTCAGCAATTTCAATGCATCAAGCAAGTGGAAGAAAACAGAAAGGGACGAGATTTGTTCTGGAAAATGAGAGGGTGATTTTCAATTAAGTAGAGTCTTACCTGACGAGAGTAAGAAATCCTCCTCTTCACTGGTTCGATCCTAACATCCCCAGATCTAGACACACACACAAGGGGAGAGGGAGAGAGAGGGGATGGGAGAGACAGAGGGAGAGGAGAGCGGATGGGAGAGGGAAAGAGGGGTTTGAGGAATTTTGAGTTTTTCGGCGTCTTTGAATGGAGGGAGGCCTCCGTGAAATTTTGAATTTTTTAAGCTGCCGCCAGGTCTTGGCGCTCTCGGGTTTTATATTCGTGTTGGTGAGATCAGATCTATCGACCTTCTTGTTATTACTTCTAGTGACCAGAATACCCCCCTCTCTTTTTTTCAATACCCGTGCCCGGCAGACTGTTAGTTTTTTTGGTTTGGGGTTTTTTATTTATTATTTAACTATTTATCAATGCATGTAAAAGTCAGTAATAACCCAGATAAATTAATAATAACTAATTTGCTGTGTGAAAAGGATGAAAATATCTCAAATTCAGCGACAAATATTTTTTTAGAATTACAAAAGGATCATTACACTATAATAATAAACAAGATAATAAAAGGGGGGTTACAATGAATTTGCCTTCGGGTTTTAGGTTTTTTTATATATATTACTTTTTATCAACATCCACCAAAATAACATGCTTATTTCTCTCATTAAAATTATGAAAAAAATAAAAAAACTAAAAAGCATGCGTATTTTGATTGTATATACCTTTACATGACATTGTGGGTCGTGAATCGTAACAAAGTATTTTTTTTATAGAACTTTATGTTTTTTATTTTATTTTTTAATTTTTTTATATTTTATTTTTGGGCAGTTCATTATTTCAAAATTGAGCCTGGTGAATTTTTTTTACTAAATATAAAAAAAAAAAGTAAATTTGGGGAGGGGAGTATTTTCTATGTTATTTTGATCTAAAAAATTATTTTATTTTATTTATTAATTTGATTTTTTTATTTAGTAAACAGTGAAGGGAAGAGAAAGTTATTAAACAAAAAAAAAGTCATTGATCACATTCTAGCTATAAAAACTGTCATTCTTGATTTTAATATATGTCATTTAATAAGAAAAGTTTTATAAAAATATTTATTCTTTGTATTTTACTAGAGAAAATGGATAAAGGTTATGTGAAGATTTTTTACTGTCATAATATTTTATTTTTTGATAAGTTAATAAGTGTTTTGAATTAATATATTGATTTATTTGATATTATAAAGGTGTTTATTATGTTTTTTAAAATAAAAATAAATTTTTAAATAAAAAAACACATGCTAAATTTCTAACCCCTTATTGGTGATAAAAGGCTGGGCAAGTAGGCGACACTTTACTGCTTTATTTTTTTTATCCACTCCTTGTTATAATAAAAAACAAAATTGCAAAATCAGATGCAGGAGCCTGACATTGTAGGTCCATGAGCGGGGTAATTTTTTTTGGGTCGGGTTTACTTGGTCACCTAGACCTAGGTGTCCAGTCCTTTTTTTTCTTTATCAATTTTTACTCTTTTGGTTGGAGTTTATATTAATTAAAATAGATTAGTTAAATATATGCACAAAATGCCTGGCCTAGTAAGTTTTCAATTTTAACAGGGATTAATTAAAAAAATTAGGTGTACTTTTTTAATAAAACATCATTTAGTTTTTATTTAGTTTTCAAATAAAATTATAATATTTGTTAATACCAGCTCATGTTCTTTTTGCGCAGTCATGTATATTGTTTTTTTCCTTGATTTTTATTCAATCACTTCCATGTGATTGTTTATTTTCATTCTCTTTTAATTAAATATGTAACTAGTTTCATCAAAATAAAGTTATTAAATTCAACAAAATTTAATGTGAGATTCTACATTTATTTTTTAATTTAGTTTTAAATTAGTATCAATAATATTTTTTTGTGCTTGTTATCCCATGTAATTATTTATTTGTTTAATTAAATATATACATATTTTTTAACTCATGGTTAATTTTTTAAAAAAGTTTATTACAAGTGACTAGTAATCACCGTCTCCATTGCATGTGTCATTGTGTTTTATCGACTTCCAACTTCCAAGGCACCCAAAGAATCCGTGCTAACGTCAACTCATCAAGACAAGAGATGTCATGAGAGAATCCTTATTAACTTCAACAATTCTTGCAGGACCCATCATACCTGTTATTCGGCCATGACCTTGCCTTTACCACACGTATTTAAAATTACTATTTGTTTTTGTAGTTTTAAAAAATATTTTTAAATAAAATTAATATTTTTTTATTTACTTTAAATTAACATATTTTTTAAAATATTTTTATATTTTTTATATGCTAATGTAAAAAATATTTTTTAAAAATAAAAAATTTATTTTAGTATATTTTTAAATAAAAAATATTTTAAAAAACAATAATTATCATATTATTAATCATTATTACTTTCTTAAACATTCTTTTACTTGTAAGTATAATACAATGATTTATCATTAATATTTATTTATTTATATATAAAAGTGTCACCCCCAAGTGGTGACGTTTACACAATACTTAACCTTCTATGTAATATATATCGATAAAGTATAGTTACGATGCTGTAGAAATTATTTATTTTTATATCTTAAAAAAATTAAAAATTATTTTTTTATATTTTTAAATCTTTTTAGTATATTCATGTTAAAAATAAAAATAAATATTTTTAATATATTTTAAAATAAAAAAAAATATTTTAAAAAATAACCATCATTATAGTACCAACCAGATTTATAATCTAACAAATTGATTTAATTTATTTGTGATATAAAGCATAATTTAAGTATGGTTTTAACTACAATTTTTCTAAAAAAATTATTATTTCATTGATTCAAGACTGATTGACTCAATAAAACCCAAATTAAATAAGGTTTGGCCAACACCAAGAGTTTTTTTTTTAAAAAAAATATTATTTTAATAAAAAAAAAACTATCAAAATCAATGTAATAATCTAAGAGTTGAGCCAGCATTTTTATAAATCAAATTCTTTTTCGGGTCACTCTCCAGAGACGAGCATGGTGATTATAAAGTAGTGGGCTCCATCAGAAGGTGACTAACAATGTTTACCGTCTCATTTTCAGGAGAAGAAACCTTTTAATCAGCATGACCAAAAAACCGATGCGTTGTATACGTGCTATGTTGGGAGCAATGGCGGATATAGAAATTTTTGCTGCTTTAAGCTATTAAATAAATATATATTTTTTTTAAAAACAAATAATTATTGGTTCATTTTATATAAATTTTTGAAGTTAACATTAAAGTTTTAATTTAAATATATTACCTAGAATATTAAAAAATAAATTTAAAATTACATAAAATAAAATAAAAGGTAAAAAGAAACTCATTATTAAAATTACATTCTTCAATATTTTGTGAAATATAATTCATTCATAATCGAATCTAAATCGATATTTTAATAACCTCTCAACCACGATAAAATAATAATTTTATGTTAACTGAAAAATAAAGTAATTAAATTTTTTTCTCTTTTAATCCCTCCTTCCTTCACTTCATTTTTCATTAGATTATTGTTTTATAAGTTAGACTTTATAAGTTTACGATGTCATTCTCTTTTTTTTTTTTTCTTTGATTTTTTTATGTTTCTCTTTTACTTTTCTTTCTTTTCTTATTTTGCTTCTGTCCTGTTGGCAGTATATATAAAAAAAAATTGATTTGTTTTATTTTTTAATGATAATAATCATTTTACCCTTAATAAGTTGTTTTGTTTTTATTTGATAATTTTTTTTATTGTTAGTACCACCAAGCTCCATTCATTCTGAAATTTTAGGTAGATTTTATTTAATATATTCTAAGATTCCTTGTAAAATTTCAGTTTAATTTGATGGTTAAATTGAAAATTACATCCGATAACATAAAACTAGTTAAATTGTGATTTTTTATCAAATTTATGAATTTCTTTAAAAATTTTAAAATTTTAATCCAAGTTAAAATATTATATTATAAAGCTCCACGTAAATTTTTAAAATTTTTTAATAACTTAATTAAAAATTATAATTTTTTTATATAAAACTAGTTCAAAAACATTAACAAAATTTTAACCTGGGTACTTAGCCCTTGGCATGGCCACGCCCTTGGCTGGTGGTAATATTCAAGCTAATCAATAATGTAAGAGAATAAAGTGTTGGTTTTGTGAATCCGTTTTCTAGCGTTATAAAATTTATTAATTAAAAAATAATGTGCGAGTGTAATACAATTAATTAAAATATATCAAATAATAATTTAAAAAAGCTGTAGAAGTTAACTAAAAAACATAACAGGAAGTTGATCTCCGTGAAAGAATAAAAAAAATATAAAAATACACTATCCTTTTCATTTTATATATCATGTATCTATCTCTGAGGTTTAGTCTGGTTGCTAAGTATATATAATTCTCGATCTTATAAATGCATCACACAAACACCGTTGATCTATTTAATTTTTTTTTTTAAAAAAAAAACTTCAAGGCAAATCTCAGTAACCTTTTTAAGGTGTTGTGAAATTCTAGAAACCTCTGGAAGACTAGTTACAATGAAAACAATAGTGAAACAAGATAATTAAAAAAAATAAGAGGAGAGATATTAATTCAAAATTAAATTTAAAAACCCAGAACGAGGAGAGATATTAATTCAAAATTAAATTAAAAAACCCAGAACAAATAATATATATATATATATATATATATATAAAAGTAAACAGCATGTCATTTTATAAGTAAATGTGTTAAGCGGAAAGATATTAATTCAAAATTAAATTAAAAAAACTAAAACAAATATTTTTTTTTATATAAAAAAAGTAAATAGCATGTAGTTTGTATGGATAAACATTGTTTTATTTATTGTTTTAATTTACAATCATATTCAATAACTAGAAAATCATGATTCAAGTTTTTAAACATCTAAAAACTCAAATTTAATTTGTTTTTTCTTAAAAAAAACTATAGGACATTTAATAAATCTATTCTCAACCTTAAAATATCATCTAAACAGCATCTAAACATTATAAAAAACAAAAATTAAATTGAATAAAAAAAACTTTACAAGTCCTGATTTACTTTTCTCAACATAACCTTCATTGAAGTCTTCTCTATGTCTAGGATGTGGCTGATTGAATTTTTTATATCTTCTCTTTACTCCCCAGTAACTTTCTCTTGTATTTCTAAACTTTCAGGGACAAAACATAACAAAAAATAAAATCTATAACCAAAATGTAAAAAACTAGAAAAACAGGGATAAAATACA